ACTCATCATGCCCGTGCTGGTATATGGCGCAGAAGCATGAACAATGACAACATCCGATAAGGCGGCTCTTGGAGTACTCGAGAGAAAGATTTTGCAGAAGATTTGTGGGAGGGAGGCTCCCACTGCGATGGAAAGATCAGGTGGAGAAGAACTTGGCTTCACTTGGCGTTTCCAATTGGCGTCAGTTGGCACAGAGGAGAAACGACTGGCGTGCTTTGCTGAACTCGGCCAAAATCGTTTAGGCGGTTACAGCGTCAACAAAGAAGAAGAAGGATAATTTAGTTAAATATTCAAAACATATTATAATTTTTTTTAATTTTGGACTCATTGGTTTAATGAACAAATTACATATATACCAATCGAAAGCATAAAGCCTATGGAATATGTTAAACATATGAGTGAAAATTGCTAGTATTAGCACGTGTTCATACCTGCCAACACGATATGTAGATGTGGCAGCACACCTGCAGTGTGCGGTAACCCCAAATTGCCTCAAGCACAAATGCGACCTTGCGTTAGATAAAATACTAAAATTTTTTCGTCTGGATTTCGTACTGCTAAGTCGTGCTTGCCTAGATACTAATAAAAATACTTAATGTTAATTCATTAAACAAATCCTTAGTTTACTATTAAATCAAAAATAAAACTTTGTATATCTTGCTACATCCATTTTTTCTTCCTTACTAGTTTGAGAGGGATACTCTATTACACCAAAATGGTGACCCCGACGTGATCTCGCACTCGGACAAGCGCGACAAGCACGTGTAAGCACATAACCAAACTTTAAGGGTAAGACAATGCCGATCGAAACGAAAGACGGTAGGTTGCCGGCCGCAGCCGAGATAGGTGCACCGGCCGCAGCAACGGTCCCGCCCGCTAATACTATCGCGGTAGTGTATGCCAGGTTACCAGTATAGCCAATGAGCAGCAGGTTTACTTCAATGGATTTTTGGTTTGCTGCTTCAGGCATCACGGCCGAGAAGCAAAAAACGGCAACTGTTTTGGCAGCGTTGGACCCGAACGTCCTCGCCCAACTGGGGGATGTCATTGCATCGCTACCGCAAAACGACAGGTTCGAGTATGTGCGGCAAAGAATTATCGAGCACTTCGCCGATATCGAACAGCGACGCCTCAACCGCGTACTCTCAGAATTGCCACTGGGGGATAAGAAACCGTCAGAACTTTTCTTTGAAATGAAGCGCGTCGCTGGCAACACACTCGGCGATGCGGCGCTCAAAAACCTCTGTATCAAACGTTTACCGGAGTTCGCACAAGCAGTCATAGCAGCCTCATCCGGTACTGCGACCGAGTTTACGAAAATAGCCGACACAATAGTGGATGCTATCGCGCCGCTTCAAGTGAACCGCGTTAAGTCGACACCTCAAATCGAAGTCAACGAACTGCGTGCATTCGTAATGGAACTAGACAAAAAACTTGAAAAATTCGCTATTCGTTCGCGTTCGCGTAATCGTGGGCGGTCAACCTCTCGACCAAGAGCTAATGCACGAAACAATTCTGAAACAGCAGCAAATTCACAAGAAACATCATCTGTTGCAGCCCAAGACTGTTGGTACCACCAGAAATATGGCTCTGACGCTCGGAAGTGCCGTATACCGTGCCGCCGCAGAAACCAGGTGCTTCGAGCGATAGCCTCCGTATCCGATGCATTCTGACTACGGAAGCGAGTGGCGGACGATAGAGAAGGGTCCGTCACAGAGCGCAAAGTTCTTCGCCTTCAAGTGCACGAACGACGGACAGTGAAAATGTTCCTTGTCGGTACCAGAGCCGACGTGTCCGTCCTGCCCATCTCTGCCAGTTCTCGCGAT